CCAGGTCTTGCATATTTGACCTATCCGCACACTGAATTGGTATCTACTGGGCCCAAAATAACCAGTTGGCCCTTCTGCTAACCCTTCCCAGTATTGTGATGGGCCCAGGAATGACCAGTCGGCTCACTTGTGCCCTCTTCCGATACTGTCAATAACCAGCTGGGCTCATCCATAAGCTATTCCGATATGAGCTGAGCCCATTCGCCAGCCATGCCTGATACTATTATGGGCTCAAAATCTTCCTGTTGGCTCTTCCGACATCAAATTTCCCCAAGAATAAGTAGCTAGGCCCATCTGTACCCCCCTTCCGAGATATATAACTGGGCTCATGTACCTTGTGGCCCATTACAATTGTCCCATTCATGCTATGGCATCCACACTTGGCCCACCCACTAGCATGGGCGCTATTCCACACTGTGGGCCTATCCGTGCATAAGCACACATGGGCCCACGTTGGATGGCCCGCCTAACTGGGTCGATTCTCAACCTTTGGCTGTCCGACTAAGTCGAAAATAAAGTACTGAATTATGTGAAGCTCCGCCTCCATACTGAAGACACCTTGAACTTTTTCGACGCGGCTACAGCGGTCCTTGGCAACACCATTTGAAAGTTCAAAAGGATGCACATGTGAACACTTTCACACAACGGAACTGCCTCACGAACATGCAGCTCGAGGGTGTCGACAAGCTGCATTGGCTTCAAATCAGGGCATGTCAGCTAAGGAGACAGCAGGTGCTTCTCGTCCCAAGGTAAAGAAGTTGAACATCCAGACTTATAAATTTCACGCACTTGGGGACTACCCGGCCACAATTCGAATGAGGGGGACGACAGACAGCTATACTACACAGCCAGTGAGTCTTTTTTCTTGTTGATATCATACTATCTAATTCCAGTATAGGGAGAACTGGAGCACCGGCGTCTCAAATGATGTTACCCTCGCACTCCGAAAACAAACGCAACTATGACCACAAGCATCGCAAATCAAGATGCCATCGAACGACTTTGTATGAAGGTAATCAATGCTCGGGCACAGTTTTCTGCCCAACAGGGTACCGATAGACCTCGTCGTGTGCGGACCTCGCCTTCGGACCATTACCACATCGCCATATCTGCTCGTTCAACTTTTGACCTCACGGTTTGGCTGGGTAGGCTTGGGGATGATCTGGCCATTAAGGTATGTCATGATTCTCATTTTTGTTAACATATCTAGCTCATAATGTGACATAGAACTTTACTCCTCATCTCAAAGACCACTTATATGCACGCCTTCAAGGGCATGTATATGAAGGCGATGAATACGAGTTTACCGATGCAGAGCGGAACTCAGTTCTGATCACTGACAACAAACTCTTCGAACATAGCATTCTTCGCATCAACTACACCACCTATGACCTTCGACACGAGCAAGACTCAATTAATCCCCGCACTCGTGCTGACCTGATGGTCATGTCACATGAGGACGAACGCACTCACCTTACTGGTACGCTCGTCTTATCAAGATATTTCATGTCAATGTGGAATACCACAAATCCCCGGATGTGATACAGACCCGTCCAAAGCGAATGGATGTTCTCTTCGTTCGATGGTTCAAGTGTGACGATAATCCTTCCGGATTCGCTGCAAAGAGGCTCCAATGGCTCGAACTCTTTGAGGATGAAAGCCCCGACGCATTTGGATTCCTTGATCCAGAGTGCGTCATTAGGGGCGTGCATATAATACTGGGATTCGCTTATGGCCATTCCCAATGACTTGTAGAACCAACAATTGCGCGACGTGAGGAAGACCCAGATTGGAATTTTTATTATGTTAATATGTACGCACATTTTTATTTTGCTATCTACCAACTACTAACAATATACATGCTATTTAGGTTCGTGGACAGGGATATGTTCATGCAATTTCGTGGCGGTGCCGTCGGTCACAAGGCTATGCGGGAGTGGGACAATATTTTGCAGCGGGAGGGACACGTTGTCGAAGACCTGGATAGTGAAGCCGACGAAGACATCGAAATGGAGGACAAAGATGGCAGTGATGATGAACTAGATGAGGGGGATATTGAAGAGGGTGACGAGAGTGATGAGGGTGATGAGAATGAGGACGAGGACGAGGATGATGACAAGGATGATGACGAGGACAGGATAATAGCTGAGTATGGTGAGGTGCTCGATGACGACATACTCATTGAAGAAGGTTATGGCGCTCTTTAGGTACTTTCTATTTGACTTGCGTGGTTTTCATTCATTTTTGTGTTATATTTCTCTATACAATACATGGATGTATCTAAATGTATCTGACATATGGCATACCGCTACACTACGAAATGAAATATGTCTGACAGATAACACGCTTGACATCAGCGTGCCGGGGTGACATGTCAAATGTCAGATATAACAGGCAGGTGTCGTTGGTGGTGTCAGAAAATTCAACATATCAGGTGATCTCTGGATTCGGTGTAGAAACAACAATACTGCCTGGAACAAAGATAGCTCCTAGCTGTATCTATAAATGTTGTAGGTCGTGCGTTGCCTAGTCTGCGATACTTGAGATGGCAAGTGCGTTTGACCCTATAGGGGAAGCGAGTGCAGCGAAGATCTACAGGTACGCGCTGAAGCGAAGCGCAGGTGCGCGCAAGGCGCGGGAACACGCGCGCGTATTAGCGCGAAGCGCAGGAAAGCGCGCGTGCATATGCAGAAAGAACAGAGAGGTTAGACTTAAGTGATGATATGATACTAGATAAGAGAAGAGAGATGCGAGGTGTAAACAGATAGAGTTCTACTATGTTCTGCTAAGTAGTAAGTAAGTAGTAATAAGTAAATGGGAGGTAAAGTAAGGTAAGTAATAGTATGTACTGCTGGCGCTTATATAGGGCGCCTAAGCGCGGTCATGCGGAGCTGAAGCGCTACCGAGTAGGTATGTAAAAATATATATGAGTGAGAAACTATGATAAAAATAAAGGTGGAACTATGCTAATAAAGGAAATGGAAATATACGTACTAGGGAGCTTGGTGGACAGTGGATGGATGCATCTGAATGGCTGGCGCTATAGGGCGCGCAAGCGCGGGAATGCGCACGCGCATACATCGTGAAGCGCGGGAATGGTGCGTGCATTGCGCGGGAAAGCTGCGCCTCATATAGAGATAGCTGAGGGTAGCGCACAGAGTGACGCTACAAGTTCGTGCTATGTACTTCCTAGTGTAAAGCGCCATATCAGACCATGAGATGCACAAGTCTCTACATCGGTAATTTTGGTGATGTGCTCAGGTCTTATCATCCGGTATCAGCCTCACCACAGTCAACATGGCCCATCAGCTCAGACCAGCCTCAGGTCATTCTAGACGGTCAGATCATGAAACTGAATTTTGCTCATTTGACCATCAGCTGATGGGTCATGCATCATAATGGACATGTGGTGACTGCTTAGCAGGCCTGAGCAATTTCAGATACCTTACAATAGCTTATCGCAGTGGAATGGTATTATAAGCACGTATCATTGTTGTAGTACATGACATTGATTATACACACTGAGCTACTGTAAATGCGAGTGAACTAGGAACTTGTTGTACAAGCATGGGAGAAATGAACTGCGAAGTGACCAGAGCGAATATGCGAATGCGAAAGTGAATGTCCGAACCACGGAGAATCGTACAGTGAAAGCAACCGGTGAGTGACGGGAGACATCAGTATGTAAAAAATGCGTTGAATGAGCTGAACTGCATTGTGGTATCAGAAAAATATCTAGAAAAAGAGTGAGTACGTACCAGAGAACACCAACTACTTTCTTCCTTTGCGTTTCTTAGTAGCGGTGGCGGTAGTCTTCTTTCGGCCCTTCCTGCCACGCTTTGAAACAACTGGGCTGTCAGGCACAGACTCGGCTTCGCTGAGTGAGCTTTCACTGTCGCCGTCAACCTCCAACTCCTCTGACTTTCGCTTCTTGGTCTTGTCGGATGTAGGAGCAGGGGTATCAGGCTTCGGAGGGGGGACAGATGGTGCAGAAGAGGAGCTCGTGCCAGCTGGTCGGATGGGACGCGGTTTGGGGATGGATTTCTGCTGCGGGGAAAGAGTGGCTATCTCGGGAGGTGGAGAAATAGTTGGCGGGGAGGTAGTTGGCGAGGAGGTAGTTGGCGAGGAGGTAGTTGGTGGGGAGGTAGTGGGTGTGGAAGTAGTGGGCGTGGAAGTAGCAGGCATGGAAGTAGCGGTAGTGGGCGTGGAAGCCACAGTAGTGGGTGTGGAAGGATGCCCTGTCGAAATGTCGGGATCACCAGTACACTTGGCTTCAACTGGGGGAATGACAGAGGCGGCTGACTGAAAATAAAGATGTATTAGTTAGAAATGTCATACTAGGATAGAGAATGAAAAGACCTTGACTCGTGCCGCTGCACACTTTGCAGATTGCTTCCTCATGAGAATGAGGTCGTCGTCATCCTCGTCGTCATCAATGACATCGAACAACGGAACACCCCGTTTATTGCCAAAGACCGTCCTTGGTAGAATTAGTATTGTAAACATGAAAAAAAATTGTACTGACTTGTTCCACCATTCCAAAAGTTCCTCGGCCCACGCTTCATCGAACGGCTCTCGAATTGCTTTGATGGTGCGGTAGTATGTGTCATGGTAGCTGTAGTTCCCATCCGTCTCTTGCCATTTGTTGTGTGACAAGATTCCAAAGCGACTCTAGAATACAAGTGAGACATTAATGTGTTTAATAACAAAGTACGTACCTGAACAAGTGCATAGGCAATGTGTTCGGCCTCAACCTTATACATGCCATGCAATTTCGCATTGCCAGAGCGCGTGACAGAAAGCTCTCCATTGTCAATGAGGGCAGATGAGGGACTAGTATAGATGTACCGAAGTACCTACATATTATCATATATCATCAAACAAAATAGCAAAAATAAAAGAAATAAAAACATATGCACTTCAGAAGGTGACCTCTGAGGAGACCTTCCTGAATGTCTTCGACGTCGAAATCAATACCTGGAGGATCACCAGGGTATGCTAGTGCAGGCCAGGCACCTGCGTTCATCCTGATTTCACCGTTTTGAAGCTGTTCCTGTACCCTGAGAGACATGAGTAAGATATCACCATATCAGTCAACTAAACACTTACTTCTTCGGATCAGTGTGGTATGCGTTCACGTGCTTGACCGGACACAACATGCCCACCAGCTGCGGGTGATTCACACCCATTCTAGCACGGGACTTCTTGTTCTCCGATAAAATCGGAGGTTCCAGTCCCTTGACCTCAGGTTGGGCGACCGTGTAGTTACCAATGAATGGTTTGAGGTGACTGGCATCCTCAGAGCGGATTTGGCTGATGACTTCCTGCATCTTCTCATAGGGTAAGTATTATAAGATAGTTAGTATTCATTAGAAGACGTACCTCAGATAAAATGCTGTTCAACTCCGTTTCTAACTTGGTCCTGTTGTGGCGACCTCAAATGAGAGTTCAGAGATAAGGGGCGGAAAAGAGTATCCTCTGGTAGGTCTTCAAGTGACGCTCTTGAGCGTCTTTAGTCCTGTACAATATTTAGCATTCAGATTATAACAACAATAGAGAAAACTTACACAACGCTAAGAGCTTCTTTTCGCTCTCTCCTAGTGTTGTCTTCCTCGGGTTTGGATGAAGTCCTGGCAGCTTCTTCCGCTTCGATGTACCGTGCAATCCGAAAAGTGTCCTTGAGGATGACAAACATGTCGATACCACGAGGGATCCAGCGTGCAATGTGCATACACTCATCCCTCCCACTCCAAGTAGGTCCCAATCCTTTTCTATGAATCAAAAGTAGTTAGTGCACAAATCGCATGTAAATCGCGTAACTATCAACTTACTTGTCATTAGTGGTAGCCTTGTTAGCTTTTCTAAGGATATATGTGCTATAAGTGAAACAACACGACCAGATATTGACAACGACTTACTTCATATACGTTTTCTCAAGCCGTTTAGGCTTCGCCAATTCCTTTTGAGAACCTGAGATGTGTAAGACGCGTCGTAATCAGAAATCATTTGCAGAAATACTGATCCTTACCTAAAGAAGATAGCTCATCCACTGATGAGACAGACGACTCCTCAGACGATGACGACCCATCGCTGCTGCTCTCCGACTCGGATCGCAAAAGGCTGAGGCTGGAGGATTTCTTGTGGTGTCGCGCCATGACAAAACAAATGGAGAAGATGAAAAGCGATAAGAATTTAGAAAGTCTAGGACGCGTTGTGATTGCATGTTATTTGATGTTATTGATATCGGAGACTTAAATACTCACAGAAACCGATAACCAAAGAAGGGAATTTGCGATAAAACAAATGTGCCGGGTGAGGGAACATTAAACACAGTATCTGAACAAATGCGCGCACGCACAATCAGACGTGACACGCAATACAATTGAGCAAGATTAACATGACACGATACAGCTGAGCAAGATCTAAGAACAATATAGTAATTTACAATGCGAGGTAATCCATTCAATCTTCCAGCGCTTCATCGGCTCTTCTAGTTACGTAGTGACTCCAGGGCGCAGTTGGGTTTGCAGGATCTGGATTGGGGTTACCAACGCGCCTGGTGAGAAGGTTGCATGGGGAAGCAACGACAGGCCTGTCAAGATTAATTGAAATATGAAAACAAAAATATCAGCGACTTACTGAGATGAAGTCTGATTGGTCGCGGACTCAGCAGACTCCACAGCCTCCTCAACCCGTTCTCGAATGCGAAATACGATTTTCTGTGAGATTGAAATAAGCTTTAAGACAAATTTGAACATGAAAATATTACCTTGATGCCGGGGGTGTCAATATTCAAGTTGAAACAGTATGTACCATCCAAAGATACTGCATTTCGAATGTCTAGGAATACAACATCGCCAAGGACATTGACAGCAGAGTTCCACAACGATGGAGCAGACATATTTAGAGTGATCGATATGAAAGCTTATGAAAGTGGATAAAATGGGGATAGTCAAGGACATTATGTCCGCAAGTTACCAATTCAGACGGAGTTTGAAATTAATATCAACCATTTCGATCACTTGTCCTGAAATCATATGATATCGTATTATCGGCTGCAAAACCTACCATGTGACTACCAGGTGAGTTGCAACCTATTCTGTCTTACTGACTATCCCATCCTATATCTACAGCAGGACCGTCTCCACGAATGAAACCCTTCCATTATGGACGAGCTCACTACCTTTTCCTGCACCAGCGAAGTCACTGGCGGTGACACCTTTGGGTCCCCATACATGTGAGTCGTCATTTGACTCACCACTGGCACCAATTGATTGCCTTTACAGGCCTCATCGATCCGAAGCATTTGAATGGCACGCTGAGATCTGCATTGGCATCTTATATCATGTGGATATGCGGCTCAGAGTAAGTGGTCCTTGATATATCTCGCTGGTCCTGGTATGTTCTGTCTCTCACCTAAACCTCTGAATGACGACTCACTGTTGTAGATGGTCCTAATTGTAGATTTATATGTACTGTATTCAGCCTGTGCAATAACATTTGTTTTGCAGCCATGCACGTTTGATCGAGCTAAGTGTAGGGTTATAAAAGTGGCCCACCCCCTCCTGCACATTCGCTACCTGGTCCAATGGACTTGCCCGTTTGCATCGGGTGTGGTAAGACATTTCCAGCCCAAAAATCTCTCTCTGCGCATGCTGCTCGCTGCGCAAAAAACAAACTACTGAAACTAGCAGATTCAGTGCAGCGCGGCAGCAAAAAGAAACGCGAGCTGGAAAAGACTCATGGCAAGAAGTCCAAGCGAGCACGCAGTGAGCGTGCAGAGGTAATTCGGGTAGGGATAGATGTTGAAGAACAATTGGACTATGGAGGAATGGATGTCGACCATGACACTTCCGAGCAGGTGAGTTATAATAACGAATCTATTAAACTATGCTAATTCTATAAGGTCGAGGATGTCGCAGGACCATCAATCATCCCCCATTCACCCTCACCTCCCCCAGTCACTTCAAAACGCTCCGGACATACAGTACGCATGCCTCGGCGCTTCATCGACTACCTCCCTGGATCAGCCACACACCTCGCACATATGCCTCCCACTAACCGGCAGCAACGAGGGCGTGTTCTGCACGAAGCAGATGAATCCCATCACGTTCCAGCACCATCTCCGTCCCCAGCACCTTCTTCTGAGCCAGAAGATCCCCGCCCTGCGCTCGTTCCTTTCCAGACCAAACCCGACACCATGGGTCTTGATCGTGTATATCCGACGCGTCCGACTCTAGCCCCCGAAGCCAACTTGACCTTGGAGGGTGTTACTGATGCTCCCACATTAGATGGGGAGCGTGTTAACAAAGGCGTTCATCCAGGACTTCCTTCACCTGGAATTACCTCCGATCAGCTTTTTGAAGCTTTTACAAACCCTTCAGCAGGTATTTTGATGGCATGGCAGTACACTGGAACAAATGAGAAATCTGGTGCTGAGTGGGATCGTCTCGTGCATTTCCTTAAGGACCCTCTTTTCAGACTGGAAGACCTGGGCAGCTTGAATCACACATGCGAACTCAAACGATTGGACGAATACCTCAAGAATCAAGCTAACCCTCTTCGAGAAGAGTATGGATGGCACCAATCTACTGTCAAGATCTGCCTGCCAAAAGAAAAAGAGAAGCTCAAGTCAGAAAACGACGCGCCAGAGCTCGAGATTTCAGGCATTCATCACTGTTGCCTTACTGATCTCATCACGCGCATGTTCGAAAATGAGGTCTCGAAGACCTTCAATATGATGCCATTCCAACAATACTGGAAGACCCCTGATAACCGTGATATTAAAGTTTGTTCTGAGTCTTATTCCTCCCCTGCCATGCTTGAAGCTTATGCAGAAATCAACGCCCTCCCGCATGAGCCTGGAGACAAGCTTGAGTGTGTCGTTGCCTCGGTCATGGTTTGGTCGGATGCAACCCACCTGGCTAACTTCAGAGATGTGTCTCTCTGGCCATTTTACGTGTATTTTGGTAACCAGTCCAAGTACACATGAGGAAAGCCAACTCAGGCGTGCCATCATTTGGGATACATTCCTACAGTATGTATCTTGATATATCTTTAACATTTTGCTTACTCTCAGCTTCCTAAGAACATACAGGAGATCTATATGGATATATTTGGCAAGCCAACAACAGCCAGTGTGCATACTCACCTCAAACGAGAGTTGATGCACGCTATATGGAGTTTAATCTTGGATGGAAAATTTATGGAAGCATACGAGCATGGACTAGTGATCCAGTGTTCTGATGGGATCACGTGGCGAGTATTTCCGCGTTTTTTCTCTTATTCTGCTGATTATCCTGAAAAGTAAGTACTAACTAATGTTAAGTATGAATCGCGAGGCATTGATATATTATCTAGGATTCTATTAGTGACTATCAAATTCCTAGGGCAGTGCCCGTGCCCCCGCTGTCTTGTGAAAAAGACAGATGTTTGCAAGCTGGGGATGAAGCTCAATATGAGGCGGCGGGCCACACGTGAGCACGTCGACAATGCAACACGTCGACGACATGTTGAGGAAGCCCGGGCATTAATTTTCCAGCTTGGAGTGCCAGTAGATGGTGCTCGTGTCAAAGCAATCCTTGACGATGAATCATATGTTCCGATACGGGTAAGTAGTCTTATGTACTCATTGTGCAAATGCCTGACAACTGGTTTTAGAACACTTTCGGAGCGATTCGAGAGACATGGACTCAATATGTTCAAGCTATGGGTGGTCGACCAGCTTCACGAGTTTGAGATAGGGTCTTGGAAGGCCTTGTTCACCCATCTCATGTGAATACTTCATGCTGCTGGGGGGACTGCGATTCAGAAACTCAACGAGCGGTAAGGTTTTTGATTTTCGTTTTATACCAGGCCTGAACTATTTCATTTTAGGTACCGAGCAATGCCCACATTCGGGAGAGGGACGATCCGCCGTTTTCACACCAATGCATCCGCCATGAAGAAACTTGCTGCCCGCGACTTCGAGGATCTATTACAGGTAAGTAGTTCGTTTAGCCTTACAATTCGCCTCACAGTTTGACCCAATTTTTTCTCTCTAGTGCGCGATACCTGTATTCGAGGGCCTGCTGCCAAAGGAACACAATATCATTGTGCTCGACATGCTATTTGACCTGGCTGCGTGGCATGGGTATGCGAAACTATGTATGCATATGGACGACACACTGGATTTTTTTGACACAGCTACCATTGTACTCAGTCAGTCAGTTCGAAAATTCGCGAAGACCACATGCAACTACTACCACACCACTGAACTCCCCCATGAACACGCAGCACGAGGACGACACGAGGCAGCACTGGCTGCTAAACAGCTGCAGGTACCGACAAA